GCATGATTAACAATTTAAAGTATGTTTCTAAAAACCCTTTTAAAGGTCTTATTTCTATATTTTTATAGAGACATCATTCAGAGGGTTGCTGATGTCATGCTTATATTTGGATTCATGCACATCTGTGATGCCATTGCGGTGAGAAATCATGCAGAATAACCATTCACAAAGCACGTGAGACATCCACATGACCAGTGTTTGATACTTGCAGGGCGTGGCTGCAGGTGTTCTTAGAGGTGTGGGGAAACAGCTGATTGGTGCTTTGTGTAATTTTGTTGCATTCTACTTCATTGGCTTCCCCATTGGTGTGTCCCTGATGTTCGCAGCAAACATGGGGATCGTAGGTAAAACCAAACTCTGTGTGTGTGTGTGTGTTACTCTGTCTCAGAGGATTTGTTTAGGAACATTTTTTTTTATTTTTTTGTATCCGTGACAGGACTTTGGACAGGACTCGTCATTTGCCTCTTACTCCAGGTGATATTTTACGTCACTTTTTTGTGCAAACTTGATTGGAAAAAGGCTTCAGAAGATGTAAGTAGCTACATCGGTTGCTTTAAGTTTAAAGCTTTCTTATTTGAAGCTAAAATGTACAATCAGTAAGTGTCTTTGATGTCTGTGATCAGGCTCTTGTGAGAGCAGGGGTTCACGTCACAAAGGAAAATGCAACAGCTGAGCTGGAACACTCAGGTAAGAACTGGTAATAAGAAACATTCTTGCTTTGAGGCTCGCATGAACGTTTTGGGTTAATCTCAAATACACTCTCTCTCTCTCTCTAACTCTGCCCCAAACCTCTAGATTCACATCAGAGTCAGGCCCAGGTCAGTGGAGCTGAGTCTGCGTGTTTGAGTGCTGAGGGAGGAAACACAGACCCAGCTGTAGCCGGTTCAGGCAGTAGAGCCTTCACCACCACCACCACCACAGTGGGAGATGTTCTGTCTGTACCACAGCTGGCTGTATGGCGTGGTTTGGCATTAATAATCATGATGATCATCCTCCTTGCTGGAATAATCATCAGTCACTTTCTAATGAAGCTGTTAAAATGATAGGGCTGCTCATCAGCTTGACCATACTGAGAATCTACTCCAGTCTTCAGCTCTGTGGAGCTTCCAGAAACGGTTTGATTTCCTGGTCTGCAGCCCTCTCATATTTTCTTTACTACACACCAAAAGAGCGGATGCTAACGTCAGGCCAAATTTACATTTAGAGTTTCTTGTATCAGGTCCTGGGGCAAACCCCAAAGACTGTATACAAAAGATGGATGATGCTTTCAGGTCTGAAATGTGATGCTTAAAGTGTCTTACATGTGCATTCTCTATAACAGCCAGCAGCAAGCAATTCTTCTGCTTGTTCTGCTTGCCCCAGTGAACATTTTCTCACCTGTGGCTCTGTCACAGGTGTTACATCTTATTAAATACAACATCATGTTCACTTAGGAAATTATGGTCCCATTAGCATCGCAAAGGAAGAAGGCAGGTATGTACTTCACTGTATGAGCATACAGTCTCACTTGGTTTCTTAGTGAGTCACCACTCAGTCCTTCTGTCAGCTTTCAAAACACGAAGATTGCAAAGGCTAAAATGCTAAGCTCTGTGAAGCTC